TTTTGTGGGATGTGCATAAGAATGTTGATGCCAACTTCGGGTATGAAGAATCTTTCTTATATGATTTGATAAGATGTCAAATGGGAAATATACTAAAAACAAGATTGCTTGGCACATCTGGGTGAGTATGCACCCCATAAAAATTACAAGGGAAATAATGTTCTACAGATTATTAGCCATTAAAAAGACTTAACAGTAGACCAACCAAGAAAAACAACCTTTTTATGCCAGGAGGATGAGGAGTCAGAATACAAAAAGTTAATGTAGACAAGATAAATGGAATCTCATCAAGATCAATACCTTGAGTAATCAGGTATCATCATTTTATTTAAGAGAGTACAACAAGTATGACCTGGATGTCTCAAAACATTATTATCATCATCTCATCCACCAGCCTTATTCCAACTAATTGGGTTCAGCCTCTTATTCCTTAGCCCTCCTGGCTAAACGTTGTATGTGGTGTTGATTCTAATTTATGTAAATCTACATGCACGCCTTCAAATCTTCTCACCTAAATCATCTTCCTTCCTAATTTAAAAATGAACAATGTAAATGAACAATGTAAATTAAAAATTTTAAACAAGCAGCTTTTAAAATTAAAAAGTTAGCTTGACTCTAAACCTTTCTAGGATTCTAGAATTAAGTTCTGCACAGACTAACTAAATAAAACAACTCAATTAAAACTATTATTACCACTAAACATAATAACTACTCACTAAACAAAAATATATCACAGCAGGTGTACGAAAAAAAAACACAACATACATCATAGTAGGTGTACGAAACAAAACACAACATAACAAAAACTAACAGTCTCTACAATAACAACTAATAAAAACACAAATTACAGAACAACTACACTAGCAACTGTTCATAATAAGACAAACTAAATACATGAAACAGAACTAAAGATCTAAATTAATCATCACCCTCTTCTTCATCACTATCGTCACTATGCTAAACATCCGCAAGCTCATATGATCGATATCTCGGGTACTGAGGAAATACAACATCTTGGTTACCTCTCATCAGGCTTTTCATGGCTAAGTTGAATTCTCCATCAGAATCACTACGTCTCTTCATATATCCATCTATATGCTCATCAAAATGTTCTATGTTTGATACCTTTTCATTGGTATAAATGAAATTATTCAAAATCTTCTGTAATATTTGTGACTGAGGATCAGATAGAGAAGTCTAACTTGAAGTAGAGGCTCATGATGTTGAAGAAGCAAAACTTTTGGAGAATCCACCATTCCAGCCAAAAATAAAATGATGCGAATAAGACTTCACATTCACACTCATAATGGGCTTATCTTTGTTGACAATTCGTGCGTCGACATTTGTACTATCAATAACTCATACAGTTCTATTTAAAACATTTTTTCAAACATATAATTTTTAGTAAAACATAAATGTCAATTAAAAAAAATTATATGAGTATCTTGAAGAACGACATGTATCTGATGTCATTACATATTTCGTTTGGTGTATGCCCTGAAGTGAGATCTATAGTTTTGACAATATTTGATGACAATATTACCAACAAATTAAGACCAATATTGAAATACCTAAGAGTCTCAGTTGAGTGTTGAAATCACTCGAAAATAGCACACATCGACTTATTTTGTGCGTGGCAAGAGAGAGAGGGGGCATGAGATAGATATAGAGAGAGAAGAGGATATTTTCTTCTAGAGAGGAGAGGCATAGTGAGAGATTTCTTCTTCATTACGCTTCTAAAAGAGAATTGGGAGTGATTGTAAAGAGAGCAAGGCTCAGAGAGAACTTTTAGGGATTTGCATGGGAAAGATTGCGAGGAAAGTTGTAATTTTTTTATTTTGTTTTGTAAACTTGTTTTTATATATGAAATTCGTGTTTTATTGTATCCTTTTTATGAATTCTGAGTAGTGTTATTTATCCTTATCCCTACTGTGAGATATGGTTTTGAGAAGAATAGATTTTGTTTTCTACGATTTTAAATGAATAATTTGTGATGATTTGAACTCCGATCTTCATTTACATTTTGATCTGGCCAATTGAAATGTTAAAACTTGTTGAGAGACATATGTTCTTAAATGAGATATGACTTCTACAACATAGGGAGAATCACATTTGATTTCATGGGAGAGTATGTCATCCATGGGATTGGGTGCAAATAAATAAGGGAAATATACTTTGTTGGATGCTGAATTAAAGATTTTAAGATGACAGATTAAAATCCCCAATTTGGTTCAGTTGATTGGAAACTAATGTGAGATTGTTAGCCCTTAAGGAAAGAGTAGTGGGAGCTCTCGAGTGAAAGTTGGTATCCTCTCAGCCTAACCACAGAATTAGGGACCAAACACAACATAGTTTTAAGTTTCTAGGGAGTTGATTAAAATTTTTAATTTACATTGTTCATTTGATCTTAATAATAGTTTTAAGATTCTAATTTATGTAAATCTACATGCACGCCTTCAAATCTTCTCACCTAAATCATCTTCCTAATTAGGGACCAAACACAACATAGTTTCAGTCAAAGCTTCAGTAACTTTATCGCAAATAAGTACAACGACAAGTCCTCATAAATTTATGTAGTTGCATTCAGAATTTACAGAACCTAGTCGGCAGAAGTTGCTTAAGATGTGTGGGTTCAGTGTTGCATGAAGCCACCAGTTGTGATATATGGCTTCTATGGGAAACAGCTCCCCA